TGCCGCCGCGACTGCAGGGGAGCCACGGGCATGAGGTGCGGCGAGCGCATGCAGGAGGTTGGCGGCGATCTGCGGAGAGCGGGCACGGATAGCGGGTAGCGTGTCGTGCCAGGAGGCCCAGTAGGCGGCGCAGCGGTCAGCAGTTGCCGAGCGCAGCCCCAGTCCGCCGAACCCAAGGGCAAGCTGCGAGGCCTGCACTGCGGCGGCTGGCAGTTGGTCGCCGCTGTGCACAAGGGAGCCCAGGCAATTCGCAACAGCGGCATCGCAGTCCGCAGCGAAATGTGCTGTGAGTGCGGGCGGGACGTTCCGCAGGAGGTAGTTGGCTCGGCGGGCGGCGCAATAGTGCAGAAGTAGCCAGGCAGCTTGCAGGTCGGGGACCTCGGGGATGCGGGTGAGGAGGCGGTCGTGCTCCGTCCGCTTCGTGGCAAGGACGCCACGGACGTACTCGTCAGTGCCGAGCGGCGTGCCAAGAACCAGAAGGCCTTGGCGATCGCGTGGGAGAGACCAATCACCTGTCCAGATGGGTTCCTCGCCGTGGCCGCGCAAGTCGGAGATGTGTGCCGGCTCCTCTCCTGCTGCGTTCCAGATGCGGGTTTCGCCACGGTTGAGCTCAATGCACGCATGCTCGCGAAGTGCCTGCTGACAGGCGTCCAGCAGTTCCCGGATGCGCTCGGGAACTGCAACGACATAAATGTCGTCGAGGTAGGCAAAGACGGCCTCGCCCTCTCGCAGTTGCGTGTGAACAGCTGCGAGGGCTGGGTGTTGCGCGATGGCGTACAAAGGGGGCATGAGCGGGTCGCCTTGCTCGCCGCCTTCAGATTGCCGTACCTCGTGAGACTGCCCGTCAGCGTCCTGCCAAACGTACATGCTGTCGGAGGCATAGAATTGGCGCACGTAGGGCAGCAGCGGCTGCAAGCCGGGTCTCTGCCTGAGGCCCGCAAGCATCGCGTGGCGCGACACATGATCAAATGCGCCGATTGCGTCGATGGACAGTACGGTTGCACGCGGGTCGATTTCGGTGGCAACGCGGAGTAAGCGGACGAGCGCTTCTGTACCGGCACGGGTGTCCGATGCATACTCTTGCGCGAGTGTGCGTCCGACTAGCCGCCGCAGCACGTCGCCGACGACCAGGGCACGCACTCGACCGTTGGGCCTGCGCAGGGCAACGATGCGGCCGGCTCGAATGGCCGCGTTGACGGGTACTGGCACATCAGCACGCGCAAGCCGCTCGGCAGCGCGGTGCAAGAGTGTGCAGTCGGCTTCGTCGTCGAACAAGATGCGCAAGTGTTCGTTAGTGACGCCTGAGGGTCCAGCGGCCGAGCCTCTTCTCGCGGTGCGCAGGGATGCGAGGAACGGATGCAAGGGGAGCGCGCACTGTTCCTCCGGCCTGAACGCGAGGAGCGCAGGGTCGGGAGGGGCGTAAGGAGCTTGGGGTCGGTTCGCGGGGTCACGGAGCTCTTGAAGAGTGTTGGAGGAACCCGGCGCGAGAGGTTGCGAGACGAGGGCCCGTGCTGCGGCTGACAGCTCCCCCAGGTGGACGAGCGCGGTGGCCCTCGCAGCTCGGGCTTCGACTTCTGTGGGGGAAGCTCGCAGGGAGTCAGCCTCCGGGGTTCGCAGAGCTGCCTCAGCAGCAGCGAGGAGGCAAGGCCACTCTCCGCGACGGAAAAGCTCACATCGGCGCTCGAGCTCGGCCGTAGGGATGCGGGCCTCAGCGGGGGCGCGATGCAGCAGCATGCGGGCGGCGAGGTAAAAGAGCTTCCAGCCTCGCAATGTGGATTCAGCGGAGGTCTCGTCCGCAACGAGCTGGAGCCCGGCTCGGAAGGCGGTGCGCAGCGTGCTGCGGACTTGCACCGGCACGCTTTGCAGCGTCAGGACCCGTTTGCGAAGCGTGGCTGCGAGATCTACAGTTTTTAGAAGTGTGATTGGGGAAGTGTGGGATGAGTTATGATGCTCTTGATGATGTTCCTTGGCAAGTCAAGAGCAGACGGCAGCAGCAACAGCAGCAGCAGCACTCGTCTCCGACTTTCAGCATTATAACAGACTCGTCATCTCCACAACAACCGGGCCATAACCATCAGGTTATGAGCCCAAGCCTAGCGCTTGGAGCTTCGCAAGCATCAGCATCGAACCTGCAGCTTAACACCGCTTCAGCAGCCCATGCAGATTCCTCAGGAAGCATTCGTCTCCAGCAGATGCCTCAAACGGTGAGTAAGGGCGATCAAGGTAATTCTTAGTGGTAGGCAGTTTGCGCTTACATGTTCGAGGCAACATACAGCACA